GGGTAGCACCAAGCAACTGAGGGGACAGCTGTGGATCGGGAGGTGTGCGGGTCAGGAGAATTCAAGACGGTTATCATAGCCACTTTCCCCTGATTACATCCATGGTAGAGTTCAGGAAACTGAGCTGTCCAGGCAAGACCATTCCCTTGTTGAATTTAGAATAGATTCCAAATCATCTTCCTTTCAAAGACATTTTTCTTTCTATAGTGCAAGCTGGAGCTCTGTCTCCTTTCCCTCCCAGGTTAGTGACACCAGAAGGTCAAGGGCCTCCCTTCCCATGGGGGCCATGAGTTCCTCCATGCTAACGTTGTCCTTCAGCTCTCATGTAGTCCCATCTGAGTAGAAGGCTTGTGGGTAATTGGTGCACTCAGACACCGTGCACTCTTACATTCCTGCTTAGTTTGCCTTCCTTTCTATGTTTTAGACTTAATCGCAAAACTAACCCAACAATTTCCAGAAAGGATCACACCTGGATTCAGGATTTATATATTGAGGATAAAGTATAAAGTATCATTATGGAATGATTCAGAAGATTTACTTTGAAAGCTCAAACATAGTACAGAATAGCATGGTTTAACTCCACAAACACTGCTCAGAGTCTCTGGGTTCTATACTTGGAGTGTGTGACCAGGAAAGTACTATAATCTTAGCTTCATATAGAGCAGTTCGACTATTTTGCACATAACTATGAGAGTTTCCCACACTTTCTGGCCCTAGGTCCCAGATCTATATCTAAAATACAGGAAGTGCATTTCAAACATTTTCTTCAAGTCAATAGATTTGTCAAGTAACAAAGGACAGATAAAAAGCAAAATAGAAACGGGCATGGAGGGATAGTCCTTAACATTTCAGCACAAAACCTGAATACGTCTGGCCATGATTTTCCAGGAGCTGTGCCGGCATGGCTCGCTTTGACGGTCCTTGAAGAACATTGCCTGTCATCGCTTTACCCACCCTGGGGCCAGTAACCAAGGAGGACATGGAGGAAAACATCTTGTTTTTCATCTTTTGTCTAAGGTAAGAATAGCTTTTGAGATAAGAACACAATTTTTTCTTTGCTACCTCTGTCAAGTTCATCATCTCATTCAGTCCTTGTGTGGTTTTGTCTCACAAAAGGCTTTGGGGAGAACTTTGTGTTTTCCATTAAATCATGGAACTAGTTTTAACTTAAACTCAATCCAAACACAATTTCTCCAAATAGAGATATTCTTCGCCACATGTCTATTTATTGTCTGTGGTCAGAATAAAATGTGGATTAGAACAATTTGGTAAAGAAGTCATAATCACAGGTAGACATTGACAAGGGATAAATGTAGCTTTCTCAATTGAGAATTCAAGTGTTCTTTAAGACAAATTACAACAGAATAAAACTACTGCCTTACAGAGGGTAAATTGGAATTAGTAGGTACAGGTACCCCTTTTAATGTGGCTTGATACTAGTTATCCTGCATCATGGAAAGCCACTGGAAGGTCTGGCTGAGACAGATAAAAGGAGATAGAAATCATATATAT